GTCAGCCCCCTGTAAATGACGAGTGGTTTGGTGTATCTATCTTCCATACACACGACTTGGTATCCAAACCCATAGGGTTTGAATTTGTATTCTTAGTCGTGCTTGAAAGGTCTGGGTTGGGCTCACATGCGTCCATTTTCTCTACAAATGTTTCGAATACGGCATAGATTACGAATGGCACTTTCATTTGTTACTGAAAGTCCCCAAACGACAACAGAGCGTCGTCTTCACTGGGGAACTCTACTCTCTATGTCTTGTGAGTGGAACACAGTTCCACGTGTTTGTTTAATAAAACATTACTCGTGAAACCTTGCAGGCAATGCTGGCAAAAATGTGTCAGATTATGCCCTTTTTTCGTTCTGCTCAAAAACATATTTAAATTGGGAATCCAGTAATGGGTTTTTACACCTTCTTGTAAAAAGAGCAGATTGACATGGTGACGGGACTGTTTCGTCTTGGTCACGTGCATGGGAAAAATGGTGTTATCCTCGAGCCCAAACACGTTTACCGATACGTCGTTCTGTCTTTCAAACTTTTGTACTTGGGAGATGGAGACTGGATCTTGGATACCTGTCATATCTAGTACGTACTTCTCGTAATGGGAGACGCGTTCGGGTAAGGTATCGGCAGGATGGAGAGATGCCAAAACGGACCATAAGAAGCATTTTTCGTCACGATTTACTATTACTATTTACATTTACTGTTTTGTGACGTTTAAAAGTAGACGGGTCGGTATGTAGGAAGTGCCACTCAAAGGTGAGTAATTTGCAACGTGTATTTCTAATTTGATGATTTTCTTGAGTACCCATGCAGACCCTTTACGAACGAATTCCTCAATCGAGGCAAACATTTTCTGATCAGCTGCATTGATATCGTGTTCTAGACCAGAATCATTTGGCATCAATATGTATTCTTTACTCAAGAAATGTGGGGTGGTCTGGACTACATTACCTTCTCTAGTTTCCTTTTCCAATGAAACACGAATGTTAAGATACCACTTAATTTCATTCAATCTCTCACACGACAGTTTTAAATGTTTCATCACTTCCGTTTTGGAAATGGCAAAAAAAGTGAGTATGTCACTATTGTCACTGAAATGTGGATATATGTTTCTCACGTTAGCATTTCCTCCCAAGCCTACATCATCCGAATAGGCATGTTCTCCCGTTAGTTGGTCAGTACCGGAAGTGTCCGGTAGCGGCGACTGGACACCGGAGGGACCCGCCAGCGGCGACTGGACATCGGAGGGGCCCGGCAGCGGCGACTGGACACCAGAGGGGCCCGGCAGCGGCGACTGGACACCAGAAGGGCCCGGCAGCGGCGACTGGACACCGGAGGGGCCCGACAGCGGCGACTGGACACCGGAGGGGCCCGGCAGCGGCGACTGGACACCGGAAGATGATGATGTTTTGGTTCTAAAATGATCAGGTAATCGGCCACCAGATCTCCATGTTTGTTTTTAACGTGCATTTTCATGTTATAGGTTCTAGTAAAGCACTTACCACACACGTGACATTTGTATGAACACTGATTTTTGTGTGATTTCGTGTGTCTCTTTAAGTTGCTTGAATCGTTAAATATCTTTCCACACACTGTACATGTCGATTGAAGATAGTGTCTTATTCGTGTGCGCCTTTTTTTCTTTTCGGTAAGACATTGTTTCCCACACACATCACAAGTCGTCACATTTTGTCTATCTCTGAGAACGTTATCTTCATTTCTTGTGGGTTTCGCAGGAGATAAATCGACAGAGTTTAATATCCTTTTCAAGTTCCTCACTGTTTGTATTGCATTTTCGTCACCACATGACACCGAATCGAGTAAATCGTCAAAATATTGTGCTGCCATCTTGTTAACAACCTATTTCATCGAGTTTTTAAGCTTGAATGACAGCCACTTACGTTTCGTCCGTTTTAGGTTGCTCTCAAAATGAGGAGGTGTGGTCTTCACATACAGTTTTCCACCTCGCTGACTCTTTGCTTTTCTGCGCATGCTCCATCTGAGTGACGTGGCTCTATCTCCCTGATTGGTCGATTCTTCACTGAACTGTTTCCTGAATTGTTTCTTGGACTCATTCATCACGTCTGACGTATCAGGTGGGTCGGTTTCAGTCTTATCGATATTCTTTGTTAATTCTACACTGGTCTTTTCCCCCCGACTTCTTCATTGCAATGGGCGTCTTATCATCAGATGGGATGACGTCAACTTCGAAAGTGCTCATGTGGGTATTAGGTGAATCGTTCATTTTCTCTTGTTTAATGATACCGTCGTATTTTGTCTTTGGTATCAACATCATTGCTCTAGCCATGTTAAATAGTTTATAAAGAATATGGGTAATATTTTACTCACTGCCAGTAGTCTCCGTCTTCTCTGACGTCTACTGATTCCTCTCGCCAACAGTTTCCGTATTGCTACTTTGTGTTTACCTATATTCTTTTTATCCTCGTCAGAAATGGAAATGTTATCTGTTGCTACGCTATGAACGATTTCTACAATAAACTTGAGTTGTGGATCTGTTAGCGTCAACAAGATGCCTTTCTTCTGGTTGTCCGATGCTATCAACCAGAATTCGACTTAACTTTTCATTGTTTTTAGGGAAATACAGCACAGTGTCCTCTCCCGGTAAGATTCTGGCGCGAAGTGGCGGGACTTCAGAGCGCAGGTCGATGATATTTACGTCTGGAGTCGAAGGTGAAACATCGATTAACAGATAACCGAATCTTTTTGACGTTGCCAACTGATAGGCTTCTCTGAAATAAGCGCTCTGTCTAGGGAATATCTGCCGGATTGATCTCTATAGTTTTTAAACAGAATGAAATATTGTGTATTCAGACTCGGAGTTCTCATGACTTTTCCTTTCTGAAATACGTTCTGTACTAAAAACATGACTGTAAAGTTTTGATGGTGAGATTTCACGCAAAACATCTTCATCAGATGTGGACTGTCCACTCCCTCTG